AAAAAAAAAATATATATATATAACAAAAATAAATCAAGAATAATAATATAAAGAAAATAAAAGAAGCAAGAAAACAAAGTTGTCTCTTTCCTTCTCGCTATTTCGTCTGACAAAAGAACAAACTTACAATAACAAAAAAACGATTTGCATCAGTTATTCATACGTAAATAACTATGCAATCAGATCGTTCTTCGACCTAGGATAAAAGCCTATGAGTTCTCACATCAAAACAGTACATACGATACTCATTCGGATATATTCTGAGAAACGTCCTCAATTGCGGGCAGTATGACGATATAATACACTCATATTTATGCGGATGACAATGAATCCAGCAAGATCTTCTAATAAAAAAAAAAAAACAGAATGTATTGTAGTTTAGTTTGGTCGATCGTTTTCTTTTTGCTAATAATTCCATGTGGTTTCGATTGATGTATATACTGACATATCTGCTACGTCTTAGTGTTTTGTTTTTATAGTTAATGGGTCAAAGTTTATTTGTTAGTTAGAATGATCACTAAAGAATTTCTTATAGATGGTTGAGTTTTTATTTTTTCTTTTTGTTCTTATTTTAACTCTACTAATCGTAATAATGGTAAATTTATCTTTTACAATAAATAGCAATCACGCTATTAATATTCAATATTAAATAACATATTCTATTGTTCCCTCGTGAGAATAACAAACTCTTGTCATGTTGATCTTATGGGAATATGATCTACTCTTGATAGATTTTAACAACTCTTCCTACCTGGAAATGTTTTCAGGCTAATAATAATACTTGAATTTTAAGTCTTCCTCTTGACTGAGTATTAGATAAGATATACAAAAAAAAAAGAAAAGAGATATAGAAAAAGAGAAAATAATAGGATTTTTCATCTAATATAACTCTTATTTCTTCACCACCATTATCTAAAGCGGCACGCTCAACCTCTTCTTCTTCTTTTTTTCTCTTTCACATTTAGAGCGTATGACAATGACCTTCAAGCTTTCTGCGTCAATTAATACTTGCATACAGAAGATTGAATGCCAGAGGGCAGACTTTGCAGACGACTGTCATCTTTGAACATATTCTATGCAACTGATGTGTTGTTGTTTTTTCCTTTTCTCTTTTTTTTTCTACCAGCGACATATGAATATCTAATGATGAAATCTATATTGTTTGACTCACAAGAAATTGGAAAACGGTGGGAATATTAAAAAAAAAAAAACACAAAACTCTACTATTATTAATTGAAACTGACGTGGTTGTTGATATAAAAAAAAACGAACGAAGAGAAAGAATTTTTTCTTTTCTTCTTATTCTCAAGGTTATTGACATCTTTTCTGTATCGGAAATAGAATAGGCGAAGATTACCTGTTCATGACGTGTTATGATAATGAATTAAGCATGCGCTACACATACAATCATCACCTTGGTTTGAATAAGACAACCTTGACAAAGTGTCTGGTTTATATACTATATCATATATATATATATATATATATATGCTACTCTTTAGTTGTGAATTACATATGTATGTGATATACTACTAAATGGAAGAGAAAAAAAAACGATAATAATATACGCAAAATCAAAGACGATAAATTATTCTAATATACTAATTTATATAGTTTTATATCGAGAATTTATCATAATCATGAATCCTTTCTTTCGTATGTATATAGTTTATTGACATTGAACAGAATACAAAAGAACTAATTACTTTATTTGAAACGAAAAAAAACAAAATGAGAAAAATGTATCATTCAAATAAATAATGTGAAAAATGGTGCGAAAAGTATGAAGTCGTATACATTAAATTTTCTCTTTTTTTCTTCGTTAAAAGAAAATATTCATGTTTACACACAGATATTAGCAGGATTTTATTGATAAAGTTTATGAATTCATGATTTTGTACTTGATTAACTTGTATTAGTAGCACCACCTATACATAAAAATAGATGTATTGAAAAAGAGTGATTCATCTATTTCAATGAATATTTACTCAATGTTGCCTTCATACTACTTTCAGCAGTTGCTGTTGGTAATATTTGTCCAGCTGTACCTGTTCCACTACTTGTTTGTCCTGCAGTTCCTCCTGTTTGATTTTGCGTTGCTAATTCTCCAACAGTACCTGCTGTACCTTGTCTTTGAGTTTCTGTTGATTGTTCACCACTTGGTGCTTTTTCTGTCGACATATTTCTATTTCAATTTTTATTTTTTTGTGCCTGAAACGAAACAAATCTTTTCGATTGATATTTAAGATGAAAAATTTAATAAATGGTTCTGATATTTAAGTCAAATATGTATACACAAACGAAAATATGAAACGACGACATACTCAATATTTCAATCACATGTTTGATCAACAATTGCTTCATAAGATTTTTTTTTTCTTCCTCTTCTGTACACTCAATAGTAAAATAACAAGGTTAAGTTGAGTTTGATTTGTTAGATGACTTGTTTTTACTATAGAAAAAACGACAAAATAATAATGGTAGATTGGTTTTGCATGAAAACAATTTTTATCGTTCTTTGTAAGTGAAATAAAAACTGTTTGAGTCTTCTTTTTATAAGAAAAAGCAATTACATAAATTTAAAAAAAAAAGTAAAAAACGTTCCTAGTGAAATCAATATAAAAACCGTATTATTTCAAACGATGTTTGTGGGAATCATATAAGTTATTGATAAAGATATTGACCTTAGAAATCAACATGATTGTCATTGACAAATAAATTTACAAAAGCTTGTGCAAGATTAGCTTCTTTCGATGCAATTTATATGAAACTTTAAATTGAAATATTCCGAACAGAAATAGCAGTTTTTTTTTTAATCAATAAAATAATATTTAGTTGTGTTTGAAATGAATGAGTTTCTATATGTGGCTTATTTTTATAATAGTTTTTTTGACATTTTTAAATGTCATCAGTAAAACATTGCTTGAAAATTTACTAGTAAATAATTATTGTAGTTTAGATAAATTATTTAGAGAATAAACGATACTTGAATAACCTTCTATAATGAAACGTAAAGCAATTCTAATTTCATGGGTCTTTTTTTACTAATTAATAAATACATAACGTAGAATATATTTAAATAAGTTTGTATTTTTTTTGTTAAACGAATCATTTTTCTTGGATTTTCTTCAATGTTATGACAATAATAAGTGCTGATGATTAAAAATTAAGAAACTATTTTTAATGAAAATAAAATATTTACGAAAAGTTTGTATTACTTAAAATATTACTCTTAAATAAATTCAACATTTTGATCTTTGAATATTCAATTACGTGTATTGAATTTAGATACATGTAAAAAAAAAAGAGAAGATTGTTGTTCTAATTACCATTTTATTTAAATAACACGAAAAAAGTCATGTTAAATGGAAATAAAATATTTATCTGATATCATTTGGTTTTTTTATAAGTTCACTTTTTTAAAATATTGTCATATTTAGAGTTTATTTTGTTCATAGGTTAGTCAGAGAAAGTCTCGTATGTTTCATTGGATATGATAGCAATATAATTATGACTTTGTAATATTATTCATTGATACTAAAAGAGAATTTACATATGTTGAATTTGTATTAATAAGCAGTTTTTCTTCATATTTGAATAAATAGTTGAATGAATGTTTCATTTTTTAATAGGCAACTATATTGCATCTGTAAAAGTTTAAGTATTTCTGATATCTCGAATATATTTTATTTCAATTTGAAATTATAGTTTAAAAGTGTCTGATTATGTATTACAACTATAGATATTTTATTTCCCATGTGAATAATTGCTTAAAATTACTATGATTCAGACTTTATGAGATATTTGTTAATTATATATTATATCGATTGAGCTTTCTTCCAATTCATCGATTGCATTTGTAATCATTCTTTATGATAATATGAAGCCTTTTTTTTATCAAATACTTTTTATATGGATTAATTTGATATGATTATAATTACATTTTATGATCAAAGAAAACCATTAAATTGTAACATTTTAATGGTTTCTGTTTAAAAAAATTATAAATTAAAAGCTTTATTTATGATTAGCTGTATATTATTTACTTTTAATTAATTGAATGGTAACAACATAAAATATTAAGTTCTATGTTCTTTATAAAAACAAAATCAGAACATATATAAAGTATACAATTATTTTGTAAAACACGATCTAAAAGAAGAGTTGAAGTATATGAGTTGAACGTTGAACACTCCAACCATCATGGACAAAAACGTGAACATTTGGTGAAAAAATGAAAGTGATATTTTTTGTGATTTGAATAATGTTCAGCGGGTGACGTTTTGATTTGAAAAAAATTATTCTAACTGTTTAAGAGTTTGGAAAAAATTTAAAGCTCAAAAAATAGTCAAGTTTTATGGCATCTTAAAGGAAAGTATCTTTTTCGACAGAAAGTAGAAAGATCTGAGGAATAAATTGTAGAGTTCTTGCTCTATCGTTCTATATGAAAAACTTTGTTTGGGAGAAAAAGTATGCATGCATTCTAAACTAAGAGTTTTCTAAAGATGTGTTCAGTGTAGTTGGTATTCACACTTTAGAACAGTTCCAAACTGTCGATGAAACTTTCACAGAATGTTTTTCTCTGTGTGACACGTCTACTCAGTTAACGTGAAGTTGTGTAAATACTTCAGAACTGAGATACAAGTTTTCTATAAAAAAGCCTTGGGTTTCAACGGTTCTCCGCGCTATTTTATCTCACAAACGCCCTAAGAAAAACATGACGACATATTTGAAATGAGCATGGAAAACTGCATCTAATGATGTAGTATTTTGTTAATTTTTAAAATAAAAAATTTTTTCCGACACAAATTTGGGATAAACATCCTTATCAATGTCTCTCCTTCACCAGAGACCGTGAAAAATGTTGCTGATGTACGATAGGCAGATCGTATATCAATAACGTCTCGTTATAATGTATGAACTACTTTTTTATCACATTTCTCGATCGATGATTAAATAAAAGGATAGTAAAGAAATGTGTTCCAAAATAGATAGAATAAAACAATTTCCCTATGATTAGCAACAGCAACTACATTGTGTTTCACATTTTAATCCCAAGGAGATTGCGCTAATACCTTTTTTATATTATTATTATTATGATTAGAAACCTAAGAACTATAGTGTTGTAAATTTTACTTTTTCTTTCAATTGACTAAGAAAATTATAAGTACCATTGAGATAGGATAGGATTTTTTATGTGTAAGAATGTTGGATAAGATTGTAGAATATATACAAAGCATAGAAGTTATCATGTAGAAAACTATATCATACATTTGGTTTGGTGGAGTATTGTATAAGAATTTTTAACATAAATTATAAGCTATCAATCATCGCTGTCTTCTGTCAATCATGATTAATATTAGTTATATTGAAAAATGAGGATTTAACAATCATGCAATTGTTTAATGCTGATATAAT